TTTGCTACAGGCGCAAAAAGAGATCAGCTGTTAAGCCCTTGACTCAGAAAAAGAATGAAGGGACCCAGGAGCCCCAAGAGTGGCCATGTATCTCCTGGAGAGGGCCCGGAGCCCGCAGCCCTTTGCCTTCCAATGAGCCCCCCTTCGCTCCACTAGCTAGCTTTCCTTCCCAGGACCCCACGGCCTCTCCCACTCCCTGCACCTGGGACCCGCGTGCAGGAAGCTCCCCCACTTCTGGGGCATCTCCTGGGCGGTCCTTTGCGCCTGCCCTCCAGGCTTCAGGCAGTGACCCCTTCCACGGAGCCCCGACGCTCTGGCTTCTTAGGTGCACGGCGACTCACTACCTAAGGCGGACTAATTGCCCACCGCCCTTTTCCAATCAGTCATCTCCTTGGGACGCCTATCTCCGTCCAGGCTGAAAGGGTTATAGCGCGCTTGTGAACGTCAACAAGCCCTCCACTGGTCAGAACTGCCGCGGCCCGACGGTTCCCTGGCTGCTTGGCCCCCACCCAGGCTCTGGAGCTGCGAGGGCAGAAGGGCCAAATCTTAGCCAGGTGCGGGTTGGGGTTGCCGGGCTCTGACGCCGACAAGGAAGGCGGACCCGTTAACGAAGTAAGTGGCCCCCGCCCCCTGTGCTCGGTCAGTGCCCAGACTCCAGGAGGGTTCCCGCCCCACAGTGGATCTGCTTTTCTGGGCATGTCCCCCCTCCAGGCATTCTGGCCCCGGGCCCTGGTCCCCATTGGCGCAATTTCCACTCAAAGCCGGGCGCAGCTTTGCTGCCCACGAACGTGTGGGACGTCTACTCTCCACTAACAGACCACGGCGGAAATTGGCTCCAAGGCTGGTGTGGGCTCCGTGTGAGAGGAATGCTTCCTTCCTGCGCTCCTCCCGCGCCCCCACAGGGCAGGCCTGGGGAGAAGAGGTAGACCCGCTTCGGTTCCTCGGTTCCTCAAAGCCGTCGAATGCATTAGACAGTGGCAATTCCCAGTTTTCCTGTGAGTCTGAGTTGGAAGAGGCGGCACAACTTTCTAGTGTTTTCGGAAGAGGCAGCGCACGGCCAGGAGGGACCCTTTGCTTGGAAGGCCGGCCTTGACAAGCCGGTGAGCCTGGAGAAAGATTGTTGGGCCTTCTGGCCCGCAGAGCGCCAGTCTCCCTTCCGACACCCCGCACCCTACGGCCAAGAAGTCGGGCCTAAGCCCTCGATAACGAGCGTCCAGGAAAAGGAAGCTGAACAGGATTCACAGTATTAAGGCATAAACCTCCGTCACAAGAAAAAGCAAAAGAAGCATGTTGTCGTTGAAAATGTAGGCCACAAGGAAAAGGAGGCCTGATGAGAACGAAAGGAAAGGGGAATACATGGAAATAAGAGAGAAAAAAAGCCCAAAGTGGGAAGTTCGGTTAATTCTTAAATAACAAATCTCAGTGTGATTATGAAAGACAGGCGACCTTTGACTAAATGACAAAAGAAAAAAAAAAGGGGGGTGAAAACAACGAAACAATTTGAGCAGATTCCTGATAAAAATGCTAGTGAGAAGCAAGTTGAGGAATAAAAACGTTCCCCAAATGTGAAATTTATGCAAGAGGCAAACTACTGCGGTATATGCAAAAATGAGTTTTGGCTCAAAGTATTTATAAAAAAGAACACAAACATAATCAAAACCAACTATTTTCCTCAGTGATTTTGTTTCGAAAATATTTGGAAATAAATACTTGGGAACATAAAGTGAAACCAAACAAAATTTTTGATTCATCATCGTAATTATTTATTTACTATCTTTAAAAGTAGAAAAGAACACAAAAGGTTATTTAAACTATCTTTTCTTGTCAAAATTAAACCTGCTTGAAGTAATAGCTTACTTCGGTAGAAATAAGGTCAATACAAAAATTGTGCAGTAAAAAGCATATGTAATTTGAAACAGAAAGGCCTTTATTAGGGACAAAACTCAAGGAAAAAACCCAGCCGGGTATACATCACCAAATTTCCTAGGGTTCTTCATGTTTAAATTGAAAGGAATTTGTGAACTGCCTTACTAAACATAACTCTACATTCATACTATATTTTTGGTAGAAATTGTGTTTTACATCTTTATGTTAAATGCACTTTTCAATAATTTCAGCCTTTCTTTGCCCCAAATGATAAATTTGTTCACTATTAAAAATGCACCATTAGGAAGCTTCATTGGACAGAAAATTAATGAATTTAAGAGTGAAGAATCTGAAAACAAACTAATCACAATGTACACTTAATTGTACTTAATTGTATACTTTATTTAAATTGCTCTTCTCAGGGGTTTAATAATTTAGAATCAATAGTTCCCTCAAAACATAATAAAATATTTACACTTTATAAAATATTAACATATTAACAATATGGCTGTGTTGTTTAAAGAGCGTAATTGAAGTCTCCTAACCATGCTGTTGACACAAGCCTGTAAGGTTAGCAAAGTGATCTTCGCAAAATGTAAATGAAGATCTTCAGACAGTGGTGTTTATAAAATAGCTCATTAATGGTTTAGGATTGAATCGCTCCAACCATCCGCATCATCAGATATAATAATAGTGACGAATCAGACAGGAAAGATTCTGGCTAAACCATTTGCATTTTTTTTTTTTTTCCAGAAGTACTGAAGTCCTAATATCATCAATTCTTCTAAGTTCCTGGACATTGATCCGGAGGAGGAATCCGCAGTTCAACACCAAGGTAAGGAAAGGAACAGCATTATTATAGTTGTTGAAAAATTACAAAGAAATGCGTCTTTCCCGACTTTGGAAAGGGGTTCAAAGTTGACAGTGGAGGTTGGTTTTTGCCACTACCCTTCCTATTTCGACGTGATATTATAGATAAAAAAAAGTTTGTAGATCGAACTTACAGTTTGTTTCTTTGCAGGCAAAAACCTTTTAGCTATTACCACTGCTTGATTAACTTGAACCTCTTTGCTCTCAGCGACTTCGAATTGTGCATTTCCTCTAACCCATTCATTTCAGGAAAACGGGGTTTGGGAAAAACAAAACAGAACAAAACCAGAAAGGGAAGCTCTGCCGAAACCCCTGGGATGATTCCCCAAAGGTTTACTATCTTGCTCAAGCTCTTTCTCTGCTGGGCTCGCACAGCCTCTCTGGCCGCTCGAACGTTTTTTTGGAACTTGGTGGGCGGTGCCTGGGTGCGGGGTTCACCAGATTTGGGATCCGTATCTTAGGCTTGGGGGCAGGTTTCGTTTCTGGGACGCTTTCTCTTCCAGAGGTTTCCCCAGACTCCGAGGCCCCTGCTTTTCAGTGAATGGCTGCGCAAAGAGTCCACGGGGCTGGGGTGGTGGTGGTGGAGCGAGTGGATCTTCCCTGATACTCAGCTTGCTCCTACCGCCTTAGTTCTGGGTCAGAATTGCCCCCCAAAGCGCGTTTCCCAAAACCTAACTTAGTTTGGCCCTCTGGCGCCGCCATACAGCCTAAGCTTCTTAAGGGGGACCGGCGGCTCTGGCAACTAGATAGAGGGAGCATTCTGGGGATCCTGGAGAGTAGGAAACAGTCCCTAAGTGTTAGGGACTTCCCTTAGGAACTGGCAATTGAATGGGCCTAGCAGACCTTATGGTCAGCGAGGACTGACCCACATCAACCCGCCCCAAGTCCCAGCAGCAAGTGTTCCCAGGCCGGGCGCCACAGGAGTCTCACAGGGACCAGGGCTCTTGCCCACGTGCAGCTCCTTAAGGAGGCCCAGCGCCCAAGTGGGACCATAGGGACAAAAGCACAGCCAAGAGACCAGTCTGCTTGGCTGGAGTATGAGCCACCTTAAATGAGCGCTGCGGCCGAAGACCGGCTGCTGGCGGTAGCTGCCGCGGGAATCAGCAAAAGTTTGTGGCTCAGTTTCACCTTTGCGGGACCTGTTAGAGACGCCACCGCACAGCCTTTCCTAGGCAGGGAGGCTAGGTCCTCACCGCACAATTGGTGTGTGCCCACAGCCCAAGGCCTGAGTCACTTGGGGTCTCTAGAACCCATCCCCGCAGCCCAAGGAGAGGCAGCCCTACTGTCATCTCTGCTACCGCCCCACGGCCTCCAAGCGGCCCAGGCTGTTGCGATCGAGATGTCTCCGGCGCTGCAAGCGCTTCAGGGACGCAATCCAGGGATGTCCCTCGCCCGGCGTACCCCACGCAGCACCCTTTCCTCCGGTGCCACCCGCAGCCCGGAGGGCAGTGCTCATACTCTTGCCGTTCCGGACTCGCCACTGTGAGGGAAAAGCGGCCTTCCCTGCATACCCGGAGGCGCGGAGCGGCGGCTCACTCGGTGGGCTCGGCTGGCCGGCTCCATGCCGAGGGGGAGCTCGCAGGCTTGGGGAAAGTTGCTCCGAGGGGCGGAGGCGGTGGGTGGTGGGCGGAGGCGGTGGGTGGGGGAGGCAATCGCCCTCCTATCTCCAAAGTCGAAAGTACTCGCGCAGTTAGCAGAGCCGGGAGCGGAGGCAGTCGTGGCCACCGCCTGCGCGTGGGTCTGCCAGGAGACTAGGCACCCAGCGCTTGCCTTGTCTTCGCCGCCTCCGCGCCGGGACGAGCGCCGAGGGGCTGGGAGAGGCGGCCGCACCCAGGACCCGCAGCGAGTAGGAGGACCAGACTCAGGGCCCGACACCCGATCGCGTCTGTGGCCACCCTCTCACGCAGTACTTCGTCCTCTGTCATCGGTCCTCCACTGCCTGGCACGCACGGTCCTCGCCACCCCGCTCCCACCGCGGACTCTCCCCTTCCTCCTCCCTCCTCCTACCTCTTACCCGCCCCTCCTAGTCCCTCTGCCTGCTCCGCAGCCCCTCCGCTGTTAGGTCGCAGCTCACAGGGATTGATTGATTGATGTTTAATTTCCTGCCAGGCGGGGCTCCCCTCCCCAGCAACCTCCCCAGCCCTCCTCCCCGCCCCCCACCCCCCTCCATGATTGCGGTGGACCAGTCTGGCTTGGGATTAGATCTCTTAGCCCCCCCTACCCCCGTCCAGAAATAACCCAAAGGCTTCCTCTACCCCCACCCCAAATTATTATTTTGAAGGCTCTAGTTCTGGGGACAGAAAGGGGGAGAGGGGGGAAATCAGAAACCGAGGACAACCCAAAAGGACTCACTTTGCCTGATGACTCAACGTAACTAATAATCATCTCCCTCTCAGTGTCTCTCTCTCTGCGGCTTGTCAGTGAGTCCGGCTCTGGCTGCTGGCGGTGGTGGCCGAGAGGCTGGAGGTGACAGCTCTGGCGGTCGCCGCGCTCTTTCCTGCGCGTGGTCCCCAGTCGGGGCACCTTCCTGGCTTTCAGTAGCTCCAGCCCCGCGCCTCCGGAGCTAGCGGACCTACGAATCCGCAGCTCCGGCTGGTCACCGCTGCTTCCCGGTTCTCAGCCTTTTCTCTTCAGAACCGGTCTCCTTCTCGAAGGTGTGAAAAGGCGGTCTTCAGCCTCCTTCTTTCTCTCCCCCTCCTCCGCCATCCCCTCCCCCTTTCGCTTGGTTGTTCCTTTGGAGGAGTCCTCCTTTCCCTCTCCTCCCCCCTCGCCCTCCCCCATCATCATCATCATCATCATCATCACCATCATAACAACCATCTCCTCACAAGAAGAAGACACCCTGACCCAGGACCTTAAACGTTAGGACCTGGGAGAGAGGAAAGGGGAAGGAGTAAAAAGAAAGGAAGACTAGAACAACATTGCAAGGCAAAGCACCAGAAACTTTCCACCCTGGATTCTCTACTTTTGCTCCATGGACAGAGCACCAGCCAGCCAAGTTACAGACAGACCGTGAGCAGTAAGTACGCGCGCGCGCGGCCAGTGCAAGCGCTGTAAGTGCGGGAAGCCCTTAGCCGCCTAACTGCACTTCAGGCGGCTCTCCCTTCTCTGGCCGCGCGCTGCTGGGGTTGGCAGGGCGCAGCCCTCACCCCACAGCCCACCCGACAGTCCGCCAGCAGCCCGCCTGCTGCATCTCTGCGTCTCCACTTCCGTCCTCTCACCTTCCCTCTGACCCCTTGTTTCCTTGGCCCTTAGCGATGTCTCTGCTCCTGCTGCAAGAGAGCCCGCGGCTAGAGCGCCCGCAAGGATTCCCAGCGCACTTTGTTGTGCCGGGTTCCTGCTGCTCCGGATGTCGATGGCGACAAGAACATTGTTTCATCAGGTGTCCCCCTCCTCCCCCCATACCCTGGAATGCTTTGACCTGCGGGTTCTGCAAGGAGTACAGCAAGTCCAGAGACCCAGAGGGAAAGTTTTTGGAGCGATTTTAAAGTCAAGGTTGATGACCGCTGCTCCGCGCCCAAGCATTTAAATACGCTTTTGCGTTTGTGTTTTATGCTGAAGAGCTTTAAAAAACAAAACAAAACAAAATAAAAAACCTGCTCAGAATCAAATGAAGATAAGAATATTTTAAAATAATAACGATTGTGCATTGTGATGGAGTAATTTTGGAGGTTATTCTGATCAAGAAGTGTTTGGGATGCTTATTAACGAGGAATTAGGGCTGGTTTTGTACAAAGTGCGGGTTTATCAGGACTTGCTCCATAAAGGTAAAAAGTGGGGATTTAGCGGTCCCTTAGCCCGACCTTTGGTTCCTGCTTCACCATTCGCAGCGCATTCACTTTGTGGTCCATTAGGGTTTCTTTGAACTTGCATATACCTCCCCCCCCCCCGGCCCCCATGCCCTCCCCGAGTGGGGAAGCTTTTTCTGAAGCTCAATTCTTCCTCAACCCTGAGCCCCAAAAGGCGAGATGGTCGCATTTGGGAATGGTTTATGCTAACCACTTTTCCCAAGAATGGGCCACTTCTGGGCATCCCTGGGTGCCTCCTGCATCCTATCACTGAGGATCAACTTCTGGGGAGCAGCAACTCCGTTGAATAGCAACACCCCAAGCTCTGGATTCCTTTCGGGCTGCCTAGGGTAAGGTTGGGACCCGCAGCCGGACTCAGGTTCTTCAGGAAGCGTGGGAGGAAGTTTATCTGGCTGTGGTGCAGCGCTCTGCCACTGGCCTGAGTATCTATCACGTGTGTGAGCGGTTTTACCTCTTTTTTTTTTTTTTTTTTTTCTTCCCTCCCCTTCCCCCCTCCCCGCCCCCTCCCTAGGTCCCTGCGCGTTTTATTGCGACCTGCCGGTGGGAACTTTGTCTCCGAGTCTGAGCAGCATGGAGCGGCGGAGCGAGAGCCCATGTCTGCGGGACAGCCCCGACCGGCGGAGCGGCAGCCCGGACGTCAAGGGGCCTCCCCCAGTGAAGGTGGCCCGGTTGGAACAGAATGGCAGCCCCATGGGAGCTCGCGGGAGGCCCAACGGCGCAGTGACCAAGGCCGTGGGAGGTAACAACCTAGAGTTGGGAGGCGCGCGCAGCCGGAGGCTCAGTGATAATGGCCCGGGTGTCAGAGTTCAGGTTGATTAGGCGCTGTCTCGGTGTAGGATTACAGGAAGTGGATTCCAGGTTGCCAAATAATGCCCCAGTTGCCTCTCATCTGCAAAGAGTAGCTTCATCTCCAGTTAAGACGAGAAAGTGGTTTACCCAGAGGGTGGCATTTTTTGGGCACTTTGCCACTGTGTGCTGAGGTGTTGGCAGGTTTATGTCACAGCCAGCTAACTGTTTCTAGATTTTCCTAGAGAGCTTTTTAGTGATTTAACTCTTTTGCATTGCTTCATAGTATCTGTTGGAGAGATGAAGTTTAGGTGTGTTCGTTTTGTTTTGGTTTTTAATGGAATAGTCATTAGTGCTCAAGCTAGTACATGAGCAGGAATGTTGGTGTTATTTTGTACTTGAGACAATCTTTCAAGACAATTGAGTAACAATTGGGAATGTTTGTGGCTTCATTTCAAACAAGAAATAAAAGAATCTCCATGAATTTATCTGGCCTTTAGAAGTTCCCATACTACAGTTTTTTATAAAGTTTGAAGCAATGTGGATTTGTACCTTGGTTACGCATTAATAACAAACAGGTAAAAATTGCAGAGTTAGCCAATAAATACGCCGTTTCCCCTTTCAAGAATGCAGTATTATTTAAGGAAAATCTTTAGTAGTTTTTACTACTTAAACATCTTTCTTTTAAAGTGGTTAGGAAAATCAATTATAAAAGTTAAAGGTATGAGATAAATTTAAATATTATTAAACTATTCTGGCATTTGTTTGCATTTGCTTAGTTTTTTACACATGAAATGCACAGTTCTACATGGCATGCAATTTTTTACATGTTTGGAAAATGCCACTGGTTGGAGGTTTTTGTTTTTTTTTTCTTTTTAGGATTTTCCCCTAATATTTTCACCGATAGTATGTCTACTTAATATAGTTAATTAGTTTATACTAGGCTACCTGAAAAATGAAAGAAAATCCTGTCAAAATTAGTGATAAGCTTCCACCCCCACATTCTAAGTGTCCATAGTGGTCATTTTAAATGTGCATGCATTATAAAGTTAAAATACTAATTTTATATGGTTTTGTTTGAACTTAATTTGCTATTACTGTTTCTTCAGGGTAGATATGTAGGTTGGCTTGCCTTCCATCCTTGCAGTAATGAATCAGCCCTCTTTAGAAACCCTCATCCTCCTAATGTTAAAAGATAAAAATAACAGCAATAGGTTATGGCTTGTGTCTCTTCAGTTTTGGGAGCTGGAAAACATACTTTAATGAAGTAACAGGAAACTGAGATAGTTCTGTGACTCCCCTTTTAAAAGTAGAGTGTATTAGTCTGTTGTACTAGGAAGAGAATCGTTTCAGACTTTTTTAGTAATCATGTAGACTATGCCTGTAAGAAAGAAAATGATATAGTGAATGTACTGGATCCAATCATGAGTTGATAATGTTCAATTAAATTTTTCCCCCAGAAATCCTTGGAGGAAATATGTATTCAAAGTAGCTTTATACATAAAGAAAAAAACTTGGACTTGAAATTTGGGTCTCTTCCTGTAGACCTAGTAAAAGTCACTAAATTGAAAAAAGTCTTTAAACACTTCAGAATGTAATGTTAGCAACTATACTTCACTAAAGCAATCCCCTCCCCCCAACATTATATTAGATATGAAAAAAATTGTCTTGTTCTGTTGACTAGGGACACCTTTAGTATAAATTAGGGTTTGCTTTCAGATTTTCTGGGACCGTGATTCACATTTGATCACTTATAGATTATTAAGTCTTGGTGAGAATAATAGAGTTGTTTTAATAAACTGTCATGGTCATTTTCTCTGAGCTTTGACTTAACTTAGTTCTATCAAAGGTCTTATTAGCTGCTTCTCAAACTGAAAATAAAGATAATGTTATTTTGTCTCAGTATGTACCATTTATAGTGTTTAATACTAAAAATGGATGAAATTATATATGATGAGCTTACAACATTTTTAAAATGAAAGGTTTTACTCTATAGCACAAGAGATTATTTGGAAAGAGATCTATTTAATCTATAAAGCTTTAAAATACACCAATTTAGGCTAGAAGATTTGATAGTAAAAAGCTTTCTTATTAAATGGTAATAATAGTTTTGTGGGTTTAAGCTATATAGTTTTCAGGTGTCCATTAGGAGTTCAATATTTTCATTTCATTCTTAGGTAATCTTTAATCATGTATAGAGATTGGAGAAAAGCAAAGTCTTGTAAAAATGTATGCTTTCTAAATAAAAAAAAAAGTAAAATATATGTCTTCTAAGGAGTAGTACTTCATTGACATTTTGTAAGAATGTAGGATAGATAACAAAATTGATTCTGTTTTACATTTAAATTTTTCAATGAAACAATTTAATCAGCATAAGTATGGACAATTATGAAAAATATTTGTAGCTCTGTATCATTTATTACCATTTTCAGATATATTGAAGTCTTGTCATTTTTCTAAAGATTACTGTAAGAAAAGAAAGTTCAAAGTTTGGGAGTATGTATCTATTAATATTTAGTGGCCCTCTTTCTTAAAAGGCTCATCCTATAAAAATGGGAGTCATTAAGTAAACAGTTGGTCCAATAAAATGTCAGCTTTTTGTTCTGATTTTGATAATAAGTGTGATGAATAACTATTATTAGAGTCATTGGTTGCAACAGCACATTATGTTGCTGCTGTTCTACTTATTTTGGGAGAGGGAACACTAAGTTTTGATGCGAACTAAGTGTTTATGAAGAAATTACATTATTTTGGTGTCTTGATATAACTTATAGAGATATTAGATATAGTATCCTGGTATCAAGGTTGTTTCAATAAGAGATTTAGAAATGAGTGCATTGCTTTGAATCTGGTTAGCTTGAGAAGACAATTAGAAACTAGATTAATTTTGCTCTGTCTTTCTAACACCATCTAGGATGTTTTTGCTCCTATCTAAGCTGTGTGTTTTAAAGCATGTATGTAATAAAATATAAGTGCTCAGATGTGTGTGACAGTCAGGTTTTATAGACGGTCCTCAAGAAAAAAAATAGACTAATATCTCTTTAAAAAACATATGAAGGCTGGGAGAGAGTTTAGAGCAAGCAAGAGCACAGTGGTGTTGACAGCTTTATATCCCTGCTGGGTAACATTCACTTACTAGAATTGGCGTCCTCTCTCAGCTAGTAATTCACTCCATAAGGATTTTGAAAAAGGATGATTAATGGTGGGGAAATTCATATTTGTGAGATCATTGATTAAAACTTACAGATCCATTTGAAGATTTTAGAAAAATAAAAGATTATTAAGAATGACAAAAATAAGAATCAGATGATCTTTTTTTTTTTTTTTTTAAACAGCCGTCAGCATAAGCACCTAAAATGTTCTCCTATGCTTAATGCTTCAGCCAAGCAATCTACAGCATAAAATGAAAGTGATGCCAATCATGTTTCCAGAGGGGCAAGGCATTCTGCTTTCCTCCTGGACTGCTGAAAGGCACTGGCCAGTCGTGCTTTAATAGCAATAAATTATTGTGTTTCATTCATTGTTAACACAAGCGTTTTCAATTTTTAAATGTTTGGCTTAAAGAAGAACTTTCAGACAGCTTTATTTAAACTGAATGAACAGCACTTGAATATACCAGATGGTGTATTTGCTGATAGGAGGCATTAAACATCAGAAATCTTTTTGATATTTTAAATTTTCAAATGGGTTTTTAGAATTTTTTTTGGTGTTACATGTTTTAGATCTTAGAGAAAAGTGTTTATGACAGGGAAATACCTTTTAGATTTTTTTTTTTTTTGCTAATTTTTCAAAAATAATTTATTGTATGCTTTTAAAATAGCACTTTAGTTTTGTTGAAAAACTATCTGTTGAAGTTTCCTTGTAGCTGCTTTCCCCATAGTAGATCAATTCTTCTTGCTCACAGGCAGCCCTTCAAGAACATAACTGTCTTGTTATAAGGAGGGGAGACCATTATGCAATACAAACTGATATATTCAAATAGGGAAGCAAATGTGATCAAGATTGTTAGGCAGGGCGTCATTTAGAGCTGAACATTGTCTATAACAACAGTTAGTTTAATTGTCTACTTGTGGAGTATTTCCTTTTAGATTAAAAGAAATGTTCAGGTCAGGTGTAGTCATCATATTAACAGCACTGGAGAGATTTAATATTTTTAAAGGAGTGCAGATATGAAGATATTTATGTATTGAAAATTATAAAATACTTAGAAATTTAGAAATAGATTCCCAACATGGGACATGATAGAGAAAAATCATTAAATATATTTTAGTTTAGGATGCGCACCATATTGCTTGTAGGAAGGACTCATTGCTTTAGAAGAGAAGAAACTGTACTTTCCTGTCTCACCTCACTCTTATTTTCAAAGGGTTTTAGATCTTTTAAATAGAATGAACTTAGATTTTGGGGTCATCCAACAATCTAGCATGTCCTCTATGGTTTTGCTGAGGTAGAAAAATAGCCCTTCTCTAAAGTGTTTTTAGTGCTTGGCCTGTTATTAAAATAAAGACATACTTGGTTAAAAAATATATATATGTAATGAAACATACACATTAAACAGAACATAGGGTAGCCGCCCCTCAATGTCCTAAGCATAATTTGGTGTTTTGAGTAATTTTGGAAGTCTTATATTCCATCTGCTGAAACCCACTGACCATTATATATTCAAGATCATCTGCAGTGAAATGTGTGTATATGTGTGTGTGCGCGCGTGTGTGTGTGTTTGTGTTGGAACTGTGTCTCTTAGAGCATTTCTTGTGTAGCTCCTGGAGAAAATAAATAATATCATCCTTTCCCAGAGATTGTGACCAGCAGAAGCAGTCTGTACATCTTAGATATCTTATGTTAATCATAGTTTTCTTTTTTGATGTTTATTAGTATGGACTAATTATCATGTTAGATACCTAAGAATATGAATTTCAGTTATTTTAAGAAGATGGACATTAGTTTTATTCT